TTTCGACGCGAGCGCAATCGCTGCGGACTCATCGACAGGTTACATTCTCGAGGTCGATCTCGAGTATCCGCAGCATCTTCACGACGCGACGCGCACATTGACCTACCGTTCTGTCCAACGCGCGATAAACCACCCGGCAAGCGGCAGGATAAACTTCTCGCGACAGTGTATGATAAGAAGTGTTACGTCATACACTATCGCAACCTACAACAGTGCACGCGTCATGCGCTTCGCGTGACAAAAATACATCGCATATTGGAGTTCTCGCAATCTCCATGGCTACGCAGATATATTGAACACACTCAACACACAATTTAGAACGTTAGCCAAAAACGATTTTGAAAAAAATTTATACAAATTAATGAACAACGCGGTATTCGGTAAAACAATGGAAAACGTGCGGAATCATGTCGACGTTAAACTTCTAACAAAGTGGGATGGTCGTTACGGTGCGGAGGCGATGATTTCGAAACCAAATTTTCATAGTCGCAGCATCTTTTCAGAAAATTTAATCGCCGTGGAATTGCGAAAACTCGAAGTGAAATTCAACAAGCCAATCTACGTGGGTATGTGCATCCTCGACATATCCAAGATCTGCTTGTATGAATTTCACCACGAATACATGCTGCCCCTGTACAGTGACAAGTGTAGAATCATGTATACCGATACCGACAATCTCATATACCACGTCAAGTGCGAGGATGTATATGAGACTGTGAAACGCGATATACACAGATTCGACACGAGTGATTATCCGGTTGACAACGCGTATGGCATACCGCGTGTAAATAAGAAAGTGCCCGGTCTAATGAAGGACGAAAACAATAGCGCGATCATGATGGAATTCGTGGGACTCAGAGCGAAAATGTATGCGTTGCGAGTCGATGGTAAGAAGGATACGAAGAAGGCGAAAGGTGTCAAAAGTAATGTAGTAGCGCGAACAATATCTTTTGATGATTACACACATTGTCTGCGAGACGAGATCGAGATGACGCGTCAGCAGTCGTGTATTCGATCTAAACTGCATCAAGTGTACACTATATCCGAGACGAAAATCGCTCTGAGTCCATACGACGACAAACGATACGTCATGCTTGACTCGACTGACACATTACCATGGGGACATTACCAGATACCTCTATAATATATTCACAGTATTATTGTACATTATAGAATAGTAATTATTACAAGTATGTTTATTCACATGTAAAATAAATTATGCATCTGTATATGTATATATGCCTTTAATATATTCTTATACATGTTTAATAGAATAAATACATTCTTTAAAAATTAAAGCATATTGTTCTTCTCTATCCACGAGTTATGCGATCCAGCGAATCCCAACCATTTCACATAAACCTTGTCACCCTTCCTGCGCAGCACTTTTGCTACGAGATACACATCCGGATAAGTCGCGCGATGCAACTCATACTCGTAGAATGCTCCAGCGACGGGTTCTCCACGATAATCCTCGA